CACGTTTATACGCATTGATTTGATTTGTTCTAATCGATAGTCTATGACAACTTACTCGAAGATTCTGTTTATGGGGAAAAGGTCTTAAAACTTATACTGCGTTTTTCTCACACTAGAGTTTTTGATTTTGGCGCTCCACCATTTAAAATGTTAGGAAGCTCGGCTTTGCGTCGAAATGAAGGTAAAAATTAGCTCTACAATTGAGTGGAGTCGGATTTTTCGATTTTCACTGTAATGTTTACTGAAAACTAACCGTTCTGAATCTACAGTCTCTGATCTTTTCGTACTTTATCAAATGGTCTTTCAGGAACTTTCTAGCGTTTGGAATGGTGGAGAAATTTTGGACACACGGACACCTATATTTTGACTCATAATCAGTTTCAAAGTAAATGGATAGTTTTCTTTAGAAAGAAAATTTAATCATTGATTCATATCAATCTGTTCGTAAATTTGCGAGAAAAATCATGTACGTGTTTCTGCTACATGAATACTAGTTGAACGTATGTTTTCTCAAAACGACTTTTTAATGAGATTGAATTGTTCAAATTTTTTACAAGTTAATATTTGCGTTTTAACATCTTTGAAATACAATAAAATATTAATTAAAATGTTTTTTGCTTGTAAACGAATTTAAGTTTATGTATTTGTTTATAAAAATTATTGTTTTTCTAGTGTTGTGAAACTTGATGAGAGAGAGTGGTTGATTTTACGACCTTCACTTTGTTGATAAGGCTATAGTGGTTGTATCATTTTATTTCATGTAGGACTATTCTTATTCTGTTTTTGTGCATAAAAACTAGGAATACGATACCGTGTTATGAAAACGTTGTTATTAACATTCTTTATAAAAATAAGCAGAAAAGGAAAAAATAGCAAAAGCAAATTGACTCGACCATCCTTGAATGAAACATATCATCTTCATTGATTTTACATAATAAACAGCTATCAACAACATTATAAGACAACGGTTGACAACAATAGAATACAATTCAAAAGTAAATTATCGATTAACGATATCTTTTAACTTTTCGATATTTTGAGACACGTTCTATATTTTTTTTTCTGTAATTTTTATACCAATCATCACGCACAGAAGCAGAACTGAAATTTTTGTTCACATGTTAGCTTGATAATTATTTGATATTCTGTAAGTTTCAAGTAAATAAAATATTTGTTTCGTCATAGGTCGAGTTATCTAAAAGAAATATACTTTTTTCTCATATTTCTGTAAAATTTTAAGACTTTATTGCAAAATTATTATCTTGAGAGTGAAGCATTTGTTCAGATCGAAACTTTGGACGAGTTCTCCGAATCATTAAGTCATTATAATGGCAAAAATATAGATCAAGATACTTGCGTTCAATTTTTTCTTTTAGAATTAATATGCTGTCATATTACTACTATAAATACAAGACAATAAGAAAAAAATCTTACACTTTAACCCTATTGAGCTTTTCTAGACTTATGAAGGAAGATATCTAACTGTCGGATGCCGTTTGATCTCATATCTTAGCTATGAGAGTAGGACTCAGTGAAACTAAGAAAACTCTAAAAGGTTTCGGGCTCATGTGTTGCTGAGTCATAGATATGACTACTTTAGTGGTTTTTCACTCTCTGCGTCAGCTATTCATGAAATACATAATTATGAGATTTTCATTTGATATTTTGTCCATAGATAGGTCTGGTGATTACTGGAATATCCTAAAAATTTCAGCTTAAACTAATGTTTTCTTCTTAATATGATGAGTGTCTAAGACAGTTCGATTGTATGGCTTGCCGTGTGACATAGAAGTAGCTTTAGATGCTCGATATCTCAAGAAGAATAGATTCATTTAAGCTGAAATTTTTAGGATATTCTAGTGATCGATCATGGGATGTATCTATGGACAATATTTCAGATGAAAATCTCGTAATACAGTATTCCATGAATAGTTGACAAAGAGGCCAAAAACCCACTAAAACAGTCATATCTATGGTTCAACAACGCATGGGTTTGAGTCTATTTAGAGTTTTCTTAGTTTTACAGAGTCCTACCCTCATAACCAAAATATGGAGCCGAATGGAATCCATTAGGTGGATATGATTCCTCATAAGTAAATTATGAGTTCACAGTAGATCGTTCCGGAACACTAACTGCGTCCCATAACAATTAATTCTGAATTTTTAAACAGAAAAACTAAAACGAGTTACCAAGAAAACTTGTCAGTGCGCCTCCCTTTCGGGATCAAAGTGTGGAACTCATGAACTCTGGCTGTTATAAATTTATGATATATTGTCAGAACTTTTAAAATAGTTTATTTTTAAAAAATGTCAAACAATTTTTATTGTTTTGAAAATATTCACATTTATAATTAATTGCCTACCAATTTATTTGACTCATTTAACATCTTTATACGATAAAAACTTATTTGTATTATCAGATGAATCTTCAATTCATAACTTCTTTTCTCGTAATGATAACATATCTATGATACATGCCATAGAAAGCGGCAAATATAATTCCACTCTTCATTTCGTCGATTCAATTACTATATTAGCCTGCTATAGACATTGATTTTATCGATCAGTAAGCTATCTAGCATAGTATTCTTTCTATCAACGAGTTTTGATACATACTACTGAGTTTTGCCTAAAATTAAATTACAAATTAGTTCAGATTTTTCTATGTCTGTTCGAATCGGACTCTACTAGGTCAAAAATACGATTGCTCTATTGATTGAAACCTACAATAGGATTCTTTCGCTATATGAATTACCTCAAACTGCACTATTCAGACTAAACAATTAGAATCTACAGAGTTTCAGAATGATCTAAGCATTGATATTACTTATCTATGGAAACGTATGCCATAATTTTTGGCTTCCTTCTCTCACGTTTACTAGAATCTGGAAGAGCAGTTGCTAAGGTTTTTAATAAGAGGGTCTATGAAAGAAGTCGCCAAAACCTTGGTTTAAACTTACACTCAATATTATTTTATTCGAGAATATACGTGAGTTCAACAAAAAAAATACACTCATTTCTTAGCATTAGACTTTCAAAACAAAACTTGCTCATGATTCATTGTTTCCAAAACGTATGAACAATAACTATCATAAATGAGAATCTAAAAAAAACATAGATTCTACTTCCTCATAAAGTTCCAAAGATTATTCATTGTCATAATTGAATTATGATGCTATTAGCTTTTTATTCGACCGGAATAAATGTTGCAGTGGCATATAATGAATTGTGTTATAAAAAAAAAGTATCTACATTAAAGCATGATTTTGAATATTTTTAAATCTCTAGAATATCTTTCTAAACTTTCAATCGAAAAAAAAAACAATGGCTATTATAAATAATTTCTTGTCTTCAAATAATAAACAAAATTGAATATATTCCATCTTATATTCTATTTTGATTATATCAACTATTGATTCCAATCAATACTGTTCTTTTTTTTTCATAATCGCGATTATTATCAAGATAGATAACATAATGCTTGATGATGGTATCCACGTTCAACTAATTGCGATTATAATGATAAATCATAAGAACTCAATAGCAGAAAAAACACGATAAGAATATGTAATAGCTCAAAACAAGAAAAAGAACAAGACTATTAATAATAATGACAATGAATTATATCGAGAGAAATACATACATAAGTACTATTATTGAATGATGAAATGAAATAAGAGCTTATTTAATTAACACTCATTCATATTACTAAGTGGAACCATCTTCTTTTTCTATCATGCTTTTATCATTGAAGAGTAATAAAGTGCAATCGAAAATAAAACTAAATTAGTGAAACTTTTTGACAACAAATTATTATTATTACCAGCCGATTGAATGTTTGAGAAATACTTAGAGATTGTTTATCTGATTTCATCTAATAGCATGTTAATATCGGAAATAAACATCCTGTTTTTCCAGTAATATAGAATAGTTTTCTCGAAGATCGAATACTACAAATTCTCAAAACAATTTATTATTTATTAATATAGTTAAGTACTTGCGGTTTTCTTTCTCATATATTCGATAAAAAAACCTATTGAGTTGTGAATATAGTTATTTGAGTCAGAAAGAGCTCTCCTTTTTTTTTATTCATATATTCTTATTGAAAATTGGTTCTTTTTCTTCGTCAGACATCAATAAAAGCTCGTCGTGCGTACGACTAATTAAAAAAACTTTGCCACCGTTCGTCTGTTTCTTGTTCCATAATAACCGTAGTACATGTCTTCTCTCACAGTACTATCGTCTTCCATCTCTTCTCTTCATATGCTTGCGTATTCCGTTTCTCTTTCTCCGGAAAGAGAACATGCCATACATATATATATATATATATATTGAGAGAAATCTCTTTGTGCAAATGAACACATCTTGCTAGAAGAAGAGAAGAGTCAAGAAGGGATTATAGAAAAGAAAGGAGGAGAAACAGAGAAATCATTCTCTCTGTTGTTATATATGTATTGCTTCTTCTGCCAAAAATCAAAGTAAATGAAATCACTATAGTTTTCATTCATACAATAATATGAGTAGCATTTTTACAAGAATATGAAGTAAGTTTAATGTCAATATATCATGATTTTTTTTTCTTGCTCTTTATGCTTTCTCTCTTTCAATCTCTTGTGTTATACAAATAATAGCACTCATACAAACATACATACGCACACGCACACCCACACACACATACACAAGCAGCCGTACATTTGTTCAAATTTCATATATAACATCTTAAATTGACGTCAGCAATAAGAAAAGATGCAACATATGTGTTCATTTTGTTTTATTTTAGAATGTAAAAATTTCAATAAAATCAAATAAAACGAATGTTTTTAACAAAATTAATATATCTTCTATTATTTTTATCATCATTATGTACAGCAAATCGTTGGTATCGAATGTTCTATTCAAATCATGATGATTCATGTATTGATCGTCATAATCGCTATCAACGATGTATACCTGATTTTATAAATGCAGCTTTTCGTAAAACAATCTATGCAACATCAACATGTGGTAATCCTATAAAAGAATATTGTTCAAATAAAAATATATGTCATTTATGTGATTCATCACAAATCAATACAAGTTATCCAATTGATTATTTAACTGATATTAATAATCCAAATAATTTAACATGTTGGCAATCAAATTTTATTAAATCAGGAGAAAATGTTTCATTATTATTATCATTAAATAAAAAATTTGAATTAACTTATATTAGTTTACAATTTTGTTCAGATACTAAACCAGATTCTATGGCTATTTATAAGAGTATGGATATGGTATGATGAAAATATTCTTATATATATATATATATATATTTTTATTTCATTTTCAAAAAAAAAAGGGTTTATCATGGATACCATTACAATATTATTCAGATAATTGTGAAGAAATTTTTAATAAAAGTTCACATGGTATAATAACACATTCAAATGAACAAGAAGCTTTATGTGTTGATACTAAATTGCAATTATCATCATCAATTAGTGAATCACGTATTGCGTTTAGTACACTTGAAGGTCGTCCATCAGCATATGAATTTGATACAAGTCCAGTTTTACAAGACTGGGTTACAGCAACCGATATTAAAATTGTTTTATTATTATCAAATACCGATAAAAAGTATTATTCTATAGCTGATTTTGCTGTTGGTGGACGATGTAAATGTAATGGACATGCATCAAAATGTATTACAAATAGGTACGAAATGTCTCATCCTTGTAGAAATTTTTTTTTTGATAAGAAATCTTTAAAACATTTTCGTTTCTTAGATAGATCAAATTTCTTTTTCTTTCGTATTACTAAATCAATTGACCATGAATATTGGAATCAGAATTGATAAATATGTATTAGAAAGATGAGATGATTGACACAATGAACAAGAGGAGAAAGAGACATACCAAAAAAAATATATATATACATGTATATATATTTAATTAAACATGTCTAGGGAATATGAATACAATTCTTGTTCTTTTCTTTTTTTTATGATCTGATGTTTATTGATGATAGATATAGAAGCTGTAAAAATGAATCATACATTGTATTTTGTACTCGATTGGGTTCATCCAAATGCATCACATATGTATGTGTGAGACGAAATGTGATAAAGAATGATGGTGCATCAAATCGATCATCTCTTCTACATAACGTTTACTCAAATAAATGAGATTTGTTCATCATCACAAGTATACACATAGACAAATGTCACATATGTATATAAAGACAGAAGTTCAGGCCTCTGGTCTTATTTATTTAAGTTACTAGAGCAAACAAGCATATCCACTGTTCCTATAATATCCTTATACAAGTAAATGTTGTCCTTGGAATGTCAACCAACAGTCGGAGATAGATATAGAGAATCTTGATGTTCGGTGTATGATGATGTAACATTAGACAAGTGTCAATTGAATATTCAATGAGAAATAGAATTGAAAAAGGTATATGATGATGATTGATCGATACAACAGCCATTTATACATTTTTCTTTTTCTCTTTTTTTTGTTGTTGTTTGCTTCATAAATGATCAATCAAGATCAATGGTTTCTATTGTTAACAATTTTGTTACTCACAAGGGGAATAAAATTAAAAACGGAAGTTAACAAACTAATACATATATATGTGAGAACTTTTGAATGATGATGCTCTTGTTTTTTTTTTAATGATAAGTCATTACATAGTAATGCACTTGAAAAAGCAGAAGCATATCTCATATTGATCATATTTCCTTTTCACATACATCACTTGAAATTTTTGTTTTCATATACGTTTTGATCCCATTCTTTTGACTCATATACATATATGTTAAAGTGCTTGAGAGCGTTGATTACATGCATCTATGACGACACCAATGATCCTTAAGAAGAGCTCTTATTAATTATTCTTTGTTTTGCTTGTATTTTCCTAGTGATGGCCGTTTAGTATGTGATTGTAAACATAATACAGCAGGTGATGACTGTGAAAGATGTAAAGATTTTCATTATGATCGACCATGGGCTCGTGCAACACCACGTGATGCAAACGAATGTATTGGTAAGATGTAATTTTTATTTCTTAAGATTTACAAAATTACACATGCGCGTTTGATTATGTATACTACTAAATCTATAAGATCATGTGTTCTATGCTCTAACACGTCGTTCAACGAGAAAAAAGAAGACGAAGAACACACACACACACACATGTTAAAGATTAATTCTAATATGTGATTGCAATAATCATTTAATAAAGTGTCATTTTAATATGAAATTATATAAAATAAGTGAAAATAAATCTAGCGGTATTTATTTGGATTGTTAACATAATACAAATGATCAGTCATGCTATTATCATTAAGAAGGTTTTACACGTAATTTGATACAACTAATGATTAGTATAAATGTTTATCAAGATAGTATAAACAAGTTAAAGATATAAAAAATTGCACATGAATATATACATCATTGTTTATTTATTTCTTGAATATGAAAATGCAGAGAAAACAAAATTTTGGTTGACTTGCTCATAGATTTTGATTATTTTGTATATTTTTAGCATGTAATTGTAACAATCATTCGCGACAATGTCGTTTCAATAAAGAACTTTATCTTTTATCGGGTCGTAAATCAGGTGGAATTTGTATACAATGTAAACATAATACAGTTGGTCGTCATTGTAGTTATTGCAAAGAAACATTTTATCGAGATCCAAATTTACCAATAATACATCCAGAAATTTGTAAAGGTATGAATGAAAAACAAAAACTCACAAAACAAAAGAAATGATTCAATCGATGAATCAATTTAAATTCATTAATTACTTTGTTTTTAATATTCTTTTCATTCTTAGTTTTTCTACTGAGGTTCCTTTTCCAATCTGTCTTTGTATACAGATGTTCCACTATA